GATGGCCTATCTAACTAAGAAATTTTGAAAAATGTTTAGGAATAAGAAGAAGTCTCAAGAGAGACAAAAAGGTGGCCCGAGTGAATTTAGGAAAAAATCTAAATTCGTGAGATGCCATAACTATCGGGGTTTCTGTCATGTGAGGAGTGAGTGCCCTAGTGCTAGGAGAGTTGAAGAGAAGGCAATGAATACTACTTTCACCGATGACGAGCCTAGCTCGGACAATCAGAGTGAGAAATCCACATGTGAGGAGAATGGAAACTATGTGGCCTTCGTTGCTAGGGTTAAGAGTGGATTCGAACAGAAGAGTGATAGGGAAGAGGACTTAGATAGTAGTGAAGAATCTGGTGATGAGAGTGGAAGTGAGCAAGATCTAGAAACAGCCTATGATAGGATGTATGAGGAAAGCCTCAAGCTCTTAGCCACTAACCAGGTAATGAGAAAGAAAGTAAAGGAGCTTAGACTAGAGAAGGAACAGTTAGAGGCCCGGGTTAGTGATCGCACCAGTAAGAATGAGATGTCCTCTAAGAGAGTAAGTGAGCTGACCGTTGTGAATGAGACCTTAACTATTCAGGTTAAACACCTTTAGAGTGAGCTAGAGTTGTCTAGGTCTCAGTTACTTGCCTTTCTAGCAGTTCTAAAAAGTTAGATAATATTCTAGGTATAGGCAAGCCGGTTGGTTATAGGGGAGGTCTAGGTTTTGATCTGAATATTGCTAGTACATCACAGACCACCTTTGTTCGTGCTACTGACCAGCCAAACATTGTGACTAACCCCATACCAAATATTGTGGGATCTTCAGGACGTAGGTCTACCAAACGTCGTAGGACCCGTCGGCCTAGAAATAGAAATCAGCGTAAGCATATCATAGGTCCTAGGTTTGCCCCGATCTCCCAAATTTGGTTAGAGGTCGCGGTGCTCTTAAAGGAAAGAGTATTTATATACCTACTTGATTAAGTATTTTTGATGCATGCTTGGTTCTTGATTGATATATATAATTATTGCATGCATCACGTGTACATTGCTTTTTTTTTTTCTTGTTTTGTTGTTTTTCATGCATGTGCATTTTCACCTATGAGTTTTGGTGCATGCATATTTATTTTTGTCTTTGTGTGCTTGACGTTATTTTATTTTGTGTGTATATTATTCATTTTAGGAAAAATGAAAAACAAAAAAAATTGAAAAAGACAAAAATAATTGGTTATGGAAATTGCTACAATATGACACATATTTCTTGAACTTGATGGTTGTAATCATGTATGAGCTAAAATTGATAAGTTGTAGAATAATTTCCATTATTTGTTTAGGTCTCTTTGGATTACTTAGTATAGGTGTCATCATGTACCATCTGCACTATACACACTATGAATTTGTTAGTGGGACTCTACCGCGTGTGTGAGATTTGGGATGGCTGTCACATGTTGATAGGGTGACTTTGAATATGAATTGACCAATATTTAGTAGACCTAAACACAAAAATTATCCCCCCATATTAAAGCTCAATATCTTAATGTTCTTTTTCGTTCCCTATTTGACTCGAGCATTTAAACCTGTGGGGTCTCTTAAAACCTGGTGCATATGGTCAAGTGACTTGGGTTAACCGACTTAAAGCTTGCTACAGAGGTCATGTTAGTTGCCTAATGGAAAAGAAGCTGCACTTAAGATGAAAAAGTAATGAGCTGAAAAATGAGAAAAATATGAAGAGCTGAAATAATATGAAAATCTGAAAAATATAAAAACTCATAGTAAGGGAGAGGTAAGTAAAACTAATAAGTATTTGTCCTACTACACATTACATGGTTTGACTTTCATTAGTAGAAGAATATACTTACTGGCAGTGATTGGCATTCCCTTCTCACAAAATTAAGGTTTGGAGTCCTGCTTGCATTGGAATAGTGACACTTTACACACATGAGTCACTTGTACTTTTACTCCATTTTGGTCTAAACTGAGTAAGTGGGGAGGTCTGCTACTTGTTAATTTTACTTTTGCATACTATCAACTGCATTTTTAAATTATTATGTATTATTTGCTCAGCTTGTTTTTAATATGATTCCCTTCAGCATTTGTAACAAAAGGGGGAGAGAAATGTGTAACTGAGGGAAAAAAAATAATGACTGAGCATACACATAGGAGAGGGACTGCATATGCATGCACATGACGTCATTGATTGTTATCACTTACATTGCATTGCTATGTCTAGGGGTCGTTGGGGAAAGATATAGATACATTTACCTACTGCATAAAAATATGAAAGCTTGCAGTAAGGGGGAGCGTTGCGTTGCATTCTATATCAAATCCATCTGTTTGAATTTTGATGTTTAGTGGTATTGGTATCTTGGTAGGTGTTTTGATTGGCATCAATATCACGTCTTAAACTGATATGTAGATTTGTGATTAAGAGCTTTAATTAATTTTTATATTTCTTATATCATGTGCTTTTACACTGGGTATATGAGTTTGTGGATTTTAGAAAACAGATACACGAAGGAATGCAAGACTCAATGATTAGGTTTACTGGGTAGTTTAGTTTTTGGTTGTCAAATCCTGACTTATTTCTTATTGTCCTGACTTCATTTGTAGTGTTTTGTCACAGAATGCCAAAGGGAGAGTTTCTTAGGTCTAAAGGTGTAATTGGCGATTCTGAGGACAAAAGGACTAAATTGTAAATTTGTAAAACTCAGGGACTCAATTGTACAATGTTATAAAAGTCAGGGACTTGGGGTGCAATTTATCAAAGCTAGATGGTAGGGACTAGGGTTTGAGTGTTTGGTTCAAATCAAGGTCACGGGGCCGAAAGTTCGCTAGTTGTTCGCCCTGCCACCGCTCGAGCGAGATGAAGCAGAATGGTCATCGTTTGCTCGTCGCTCGATGTTTGCTCGAGCGAAGTGGCGTCGCTCTCTTTTCGCTCGAGCGACGGTGTTATATGAAAATTCGTATTTTCAATTTTTGGAAAGTTTGACATGGCCTAGGACTCTTAATTACCCCCAACTATAAATACAAAGGTCGTGAACGTGAAAGAGAGATTGTCATATTGTGCTTTACATAGATATCATCTTCAATATTCTCTCAAGAGATCCAAGGCAGAACTAAACAACGAATTCATCCATAAACACCTTGTGATCCAAGCAATCCACTGTTGGGAAAAACATCACTATTTGTGAAGACAAAACATCTGGACTTCTTCATCTGTTGAGGAAGGGACTCTCTCATTGGAAGATTGAGAAAGGTGGACGACAAGCGTAGGAACTAGACAAGAACAGGAAGTTCTTGGAATTCCACTTGGTGATACAATCAGCTAGAGACCAGGAGGCTATATTGGATAGCAGATTAGGCTGAAGGAGGTAGATCAGGATGCTAGCAAGAGACTAGCAGTATCTACGGCAGTAGATCGTGAGACTGGAACAGCGGGTCTGACTTGGTATGGAGTTTGGCATAACTTGTACTGGCTGGATTGGTATAGTGGAAACTATTGGCTTGGTCCTGAAGTTTTATCCACGTTGGGGTTTCTCTATCATCATATTATTTGTTGTTTACTGCTTTGCATAATATACAAATTGTGGCATTCCAAAATAGGTTAACTGACTTGTATGATTAATCACCTAAACAACTAATTAAAGTGACTTGTTGCTTTAGTTAGATTAATTCCACATGTAAGGTCAAATTGGTTCAAGTGAAATCTAGAACGTAAACTAGGTAACGCATAAAATTTGAACTTGATACTGTATCACGTTAGTCGAACTTTCTAGCATATCTAAGCATTATAGGTCAAATTTTTTACTTTCAAAATGGTCCCATGAAGTCAATGTCCCAAACGTCGAATATTTCAACATCCAAAATACTGTTCAAAGGCATCTCGTTCCTCCTTGAGATGTTTCCAATCCTCTGGCACTTATCACAATGTTTCACCATATAATTGGCATCCTTAAACAACGTAGGCCAATAAAAACCCGATTGTAGTACCTTTGTGGCTATCTTGGTTGCTGCGAAGTGACCCCCATACGGAGCCAACACTGGAGCAGAGACCAATTTTTCCTTTAAAGTGTTGAAAGCAATCAAGCACTCCTCAAAAAAGTGAAATGAAGCCCTTTTTCCAATAGATTACATAATGGCTTCGAGATTTTGGAAAAGTCTTTGATGAAGCGACGATAGAACCCAGTGTGACCCAAGAAACTTCTGACTCCCTTCACTGTTACTGGTGGTGGTAGTTTTTCGATGACTTTTATCTTAGTTTTATCCACCTCAATACTCCGTGTTGTTAGATACCCTAACACAATTCCTTCCTAAACCATGAAATGATATTTTTCCCAATTTAATACAAGGTTTGTGTCTTCACACCGCTGCAACACTTTTCCCAAATGTTCAAGGCACTCCTTAAATGATTTTCCAAATACTGAAAAACCATCCATAAACACCTCAATGATATTTCCCACCACGTCCGAGAAAATAGACATCATACAATGCTAAAAGGTGGCAGGAGCTTTGCAAAGACCAAAGGGCGTCCTCCTATAGGCAAAAGTGTCATAAGGGCATGTAAAGATCGTCTTCTCTTGATCATCCAGCGCTATCGGAATCTGATTATACCCCGAATAACCATCCAAGAAGCAATAGTAAGCATGTCCAGCAAGTCTCTCTAGCATCTGATCAATGAAAGGAAAGGAAAAGTGATATTTCCTCGTGGCATTGTTGAGTTTGTGATAGTCAATACAAACTCTCCAACCCGTGACTGTGCGTGTCGGGATGAGCTCGTTGTTTTCATTTAGAACCATCGTGACCCCTCCCTTTTTCGGTACGACCTGTACTGGACTAACACAATGACTGTCTGATATGGGGTAGATGATCCCTACATCCAGAAGCTTTAATACCTATTTCCTTACTACTTCCTGTATAGTCAGATTTAATCTACGTTGATGCTCAACTGAAACTTTGTAGTCCTCTTCCATTAGAATCTCATGCATGTAAAGTGAAGGGCTGATCCCTTTTATATCTAATATCATCCATCATATTGCTGTCTTGTGCTCCCGAAGTACCCTTAGCAATTGATCTTCCTCTAATTCTGTAAGATTGTTCAAGATAATTACTGGAAGTGAATTCTTTTCCCCCAAGTATGCATAGCGAAGATGAGTGAGCTATTTTTTGAGTTCAAGACCTAGAGTTTGTTGTATAGATGGTAAAGGTGTTGTGGGTCTTTCACCGAGCTCCAAACGTGGTTGCTTGAAGAATGGTGGTATGGTTGCCAAATAACGTGCACATTCTTCTGCTTTCTCATTTTCTGATGACAAATCCTGAGAATGCACTAAACTCGCCTCAAGCGAATTTTGAGTGTGATATAGTTTGATGTCTCTGACACCGTTTCTTTTATTACATCAATTTGCATGCAAGAATCTGGTTCACTCTGAAATTTGAAAGCTCTAAACACGTTGATTATCACTTCTTCTTTGTTTAACATCAATATCAACTGACCCTTCTGCACATCTATCAGAGCCCTTTCCGTAGCCAAAAATGGATGACCCAATATGAGAGGGACATCCCTATCTTTCTCCATATCTAGAATAATGAAGTCCGCTGGGAAGATAAACTTGCCAACCTTCACCAAAATATCTTCAGAAATACCTCGAGGGTGCTTGATCGACCTGTTAGCCAACTGCAGTGAAACTGTTGATGATTTTGCTTCCCCCAAAACTAGTTTCCTGAAAAGAGACAAAGGTATTAAATTAATTCTAGTTCCTAAATCACATAATGCTTTATCTATATATAAGTTACCAATGTTACAAGGAATAGTAAAACTCCTTGGATCTTTTAACTTTAGTGGTAACTTATGTTGGAGAATTGCACTGCATTCCTCAGCAAGCATGACTATTTCATTGTCTTCCAGCTTCCTCTTATTTGATAGAATATCTTTCATGAACTTGGCATAGCTGGGCATTTGAGCTAAAGCTTTGGTATGTTAATGTGTAGCTTCTTGAATACGTCCAAAAATTTCTGGAATTGTTTATCGAGCTTATGTTTTTGCAATCTATGTGAAAATGGGATCGAAGGAACATATGCTTTGACAGGAGCAGTTGTCTTCACCTGTGGACTATCTGATGACTCAACTTGATTTTCCTCTTTGGCCTTATCTGATTCATGCACTTGCTCCTCGCCTACAGTAGGTGCCTTTTCTATGACAGTTGCTGGCCGCTTTACTTGTATTTCTGGTAACTGGACACCGCTACGTGTAGGGATTGCTTTAACCTGCTCCTTAGGATTTGTTTCAGTATTGCTAGGCAATGTCCCTTGAGCTCTACCTGATAGTGCAGCTACAATTTGTCCAACTTATTAGTTCTGAAAGTTGGTCTCAGTTTTAGTAATACATTGAGCCAGCAAATCTTCCAACGATGGCTTTCTCCCTTGCTGTTGTTGCTGTTGAAACCTTGGTGGTTTATTCTGATTGTTTCCTCCTTGTTCTTGTACCTGATTATTGGACCAAGTAAAATTCGGAATGTTCCTTCAACCCAGATTTTATGTGTTGGAGAAAGGATTATTTTGCTGTCTCTGAAAGTTTTGTGCATAGCTTATTTCTTCGGATTGATTAACATGTGTGGATGGCAAATGACAGCATGTACTAGCATGATATGCTCCACAACATTCGCAAACAGGTGGCGATTGGTGTACCATGTTATCTGACTTAGACAGATTGTCCATTATCATTGTAAAAATTTCCATTTGCGCGGCCAGCGCTGTCACTGCATCCACGTTTTGTAACCCTAATGTTTTCATTGGAGCTTCCCTATCGGTTGGCCACATCGATTGGTTTTCAGCTATTATTTCAGACAGGTCATTTGCCTCATCTAAATCAAGTTTCATCACTGATCCTCCTGCTGAAGCATCTATCATATTTTTTGAACTCTTGTTTTAGACCGTAGTAGAAAAGATACTGCTGAGCCTGCTTGGGAATGTCAAGGCTAGGGCATTTTCTGAAAAAATTCTTGAACCTCTCCCATGCCTCAAGATAGCTTTCTAAATCTTTCTGCTTGAAGGTGTGGACATCATTCCTGATTTGGTGAACTTGAGAAGGTGGAAAGAATTTTCATCGTGAATTTTTGAACCATATCGTTCCATGATTGAATGCTCCCTCGTGGTAAATAGAGGAACCATTCTCTACCAGTGTCCTTCAAGATATGAGGAAATAATCGCATTCGAAATGCATCTGCTAATATCCCTTCACGACTGATCACTTCACATAGCATGAGAAAAGCAGAAATGTGTTAATGAGGATTCTCTGTGGCTTTTCCAAAAAACTTGATGTCTTGGTGATTTTGAAACAAATTGATTACATCTGGTCGAAGTGGAAATTAGGTTATCCAAAGGAAGGATATACCACAGCTGATTGCACTGGTACAGAAATTGTATTGACATAATCTCCAGCTAAGACAAGAGCTCCCTTCTAGATATCTCTCTGTTGATTTGGCTGTGGTATTTGCTCTTGAAGTTGAACCTGATTCTACGTTGATTCTGATTATCGGCCATTCTCCTAGCTTGACATTGCACTCTTCTGCGATTTCTAAATGTCCTTTCGATTTCGTGGTCTATCAAAAAGAGATCTGGCTCGTCAGAATTTTGCATAAAGTAAAGTCACCTAAAAAGTGTCAAGACACAAGAGAATTAAGCGGTGTAATGGTAGCCTAAAAACAACAACTAAAAATGAAATGAAAATAAAAAAATAAAAACGAATCTAAAATATATAATAACTAAAATTAACACCGGTATTCCCCGGCAAATGGCGCCAAAAATTTGTTCGTCAAATTCCCACAAGCGTACGAGCTCGTTGTACAAGTAATAATCGTGATAAGAAAATTATCGTCCCACAGAGAATAAGGATCAATTTCAGTATATTTGATATACTTAAATTTGAGTTTGTAACCAAAAGATAATCGAATGAATAGCTAACTAATTTTTATAACTAAAAATTATTAAATCAATGAAAATTGGTTTAAAAATCAAAAATGCAAACATATTGGATTTTCGATGCCACTGATCAATTTTTAGTTCTAATTTTCTCAACCAGTGATAATTATTACAATTCATGCAATTGTGACTATTGATAATTCCACTATTATTTATTATTCTTTTCTAAGATATAATAAACTTATGGTTGCCACGAGATGATCCTATTTCTAGTCCGAATTCATATGGCAAACACGCATTGACATTTATGATTATCACAAATGATCGCACACGCCATAAATATTATTCCTAATATTTATTGTCCGATGTCCCAATAATAGTGTTTTACCTATCGTGAGTTTTTCAACACTACGAATAAACAACTTGTTGTCTTAATGATGCGCAAACATTAAAACAAATAAATAGGCATATTAATGGAATCGCAACGCAAGAATTAACATACAAACGTAGGTCTCGAATTGAAACTAAGAATTAAACAATTTTGTCATCCATCCAATATATGGAACGAATTAGCCTAACATATTATTGGAATCAAACAAGTAAAGTTTAAACGACATCACCGAGTAATTGACGAAACGTGTTTAACTCCAATTATAATCCAGTAATCCTTATCTTCCTTGCGGTTGTCGTCTTCATATTTGCCGTAATGTTTGACTGCAATTTATCCTTAAAGTTGTTGCCCAATTGCCGTGAGTAATTTCAACCTTGTAGCACCAATTTCTCCCTCCAGTCGTCTTCTTTAATGTATTTAAAATCAATCCCCAACTTATGTGTATATATAATATTTCCTGCAGCCTACAATGGTTTTCTTTTGTGTGATTAGGAGTCCCAGGTTGCTCAAATTCCAATTGTTCTCCAATTCCCCAGTTGGCGTGTGCCTTTTCTTTCTCTGCCCACCAAACTACCCACTGTTGTGTGTGTGTGTGTGTGTGTGTAAACGGCCCTTCCTTTGTATCCAATTAAAGGTCCAATTCCTTTAACGTGTTTCTGTGGGCATATATATACTTAAACCAGCAGCCCTTTTAGCCTTGGTGAAATTAATTGGACCAGCCCACTTCCTTGTGTAAAATAGGATTCCAATCGGCTAATGAATTTGAATCCAAATTTAAGTTCAAAACTTAGGTTTATTTAATTTATTATTTTCTTCTTCATGACCTCCACTTTCAAAGTAAGAAATTTGATTTCCAAACTTTACATCAAATAGCCAATTAATCCTTCATCATTTCCAAATGCTTCAAACGAGTCCATCACTAAAAACACAAAGAAAATTACCCTAAGTTAAATAGAAATTAATAATTTGACGATGTAAAAGTTTAATAATGTGATATAAATAAATACACAAATTGCACTTATCAGAAATTTCCATTATGATCGCGTTCATGTTGAAATTAGTGATATGATAAGAAAATTCCTCCATGCTTATTCTGCATTATTCATCATTTTTTCTTATCCAAGAAAAAAATAGTGTGCTTTATCCCCTCAAATTTCCTCAAATTTGTTATTCCGACTGCAAATATGCGTAAGTATCGGCGAATCCACATGGTCTAGCTGGATTTGGATTATATTCAAAATCTTACAACAAATAACAAATCTAGTCTTTGTTTGAGCCCCATTTTTCTGTTAAAATATATTTTTAAACAGTAATTTGATCTCATTTCAATCAGACATTCTTTTATAAAATAATATTGCACACAAATCGAAATTTTTTCCCTAATTTTTAACCACATATTCTCTGTCATAACACTATTATAAAATGCATTTTTTGTGAAAAAGAATGAGGCTCAAACAACACCTACTAATTTTATTTTTTTTGCGAGATCAATTTCTTCTGTCAATGTTTTCACAATTTTACCAAATTTATAAGTGATTGAAATTAGTACTGATTTTAATTGAATTTATAAATTGTATTTAAATGTAAACTCAAGGGTGTGCTCAATTGAGATTTTTATCAATTTTTAAAATCTATAAAAGTTTAAGGGTAAATTGTAATTAAAAAAATTCATACAATATTTTCTTCTTTTCTATCATCCAATTTTTTTATGAAAAAGAAAATAATTATTTGTAATTAATGTTTATTTATCAAAGCGTGTATGTATATTGTATTCTAGTTATTTATTTATCTAATTAAGGTGACTTAAATTTTTTATTCTTTTAAATTATTTTTATTATATAGGGGAGGGGAAGAGGGCAATGGGAATTGAACCACCAGTTCTCTATGAATTTTTTTTTTAACATTATGCCTTTATTTGAGCTCCATTCTTTTTGTAAGAATGAATTTTTGAATAGTGTATTAATGAAAAATATGTTTAAAAATAAGGAAGATTTTTGGATTCATGTGTAATATTATTTTATTGAAGAATGTGTTGTTGAAATAATGTCAAAACACTATTTAAGAATATATATTTTTCAAAGAATGAAACTCAAGCGGGGGCTATGCTGGACCACGTTGTATAATAATAATGAAAATTTTCAAAAGTTAAATAAATTATGCCCTTGTTTGAGTTTCATTTTTGGGGAAAAAATGAATTTTTGAATAGTGTATTGATGGGAAATGTGTTGTTAAAAAATAAAATAAAAATTTAGATTTACGTGTAATATTATTTTATTAAAGAATGTGTGGTTGAAATGAAGTCAAAGTACTATATTAAAATACATTTTTTCCCAAAGAATGGAGATCAAACAAGAGCTATATAAAAGTCTTACTAATCATATGTGAAAGCTTACAACGAAATTGGAGCCCCTAGGGCACATCTCCAAGTGATAAAAGGGGAGGGTGAAGAAATTCAACTTTACTTGAGGCTGCTGCGTCAAGGATTCGAATCCTGAAATATGAATTTGGCTCTTGAATAAATGTAAGTGTACAAGCAGCCTTTCACCTATACTCTTGGAAGCATAACCTGCGATTTACCTCCCTCACGATACTCCAGAGAGGGGTGGTGGAGGACCCTTAAAGTTAGGGTTTTAACTTTTTTTTTTTTTTTAACAACGAAATTGGACATTTTGAATTGACAGCCATTAAATTGGATATTTTTTAAAATGCCCAAAATTCAATTGAAATTAATGGCACTATCGCCTAACGGAATAATTAAATGGTTTCTCGCGTTAAATATTAGAATCTCTAAGCAATGAGTATGTTTCAAGCAACAGACCCCACATGTTGGAGACCTGGGGTTTAATGTTTCAGAGCTACCATAAATTTCACATTTTTAGTTTTTCAAGGTTCTTGACAGATGGGTCTTGCACTTCGTGATTCTTTGAGGCATTATAATACATATAAAATGAAGATTTAATAAGGAAAAAAACTGGGGTTTCCTTGGTTTATACTCCATTTTTTTACTTTATTGGGGTTTTGCATTTTTGTTTCTTATCTGGCACGTTGGGTTCGATTTTGGATTCTTCTGGTGGTTAAAGAAAGATGAAAGTACCGTTTATATCAGAAAAACTGGCTTATTTTTGGAGGAGTTGACCTAAATTTGGTGTCTGATTAGTAAATTAAATAGTTTCTGTGAGCCATTCTGTGGACCGAGATTCTGGGTCTTTTTTTCAAATGGGCATGTCCGGTGGAGTGGTTTCAGGGACAAAGCAAAGCTTCAAGAGGATTTGTTGAGTATTTTGTTGGATTAAATCAAATTATTAATGGTAGACATGCTTCATAATTCTTATTCTTCGATTTGTAGTTGAAGTATTCAGGATTTGGATTAGGCAGTTGTTGTGGGTTTTCTCGTGAGGGAAAAGAGCATTTGGGTGTTTTTGTTTCAAAGATCTGAGTGAAAATTGGGGCTTTGATTTGGATCTGCATGAAATTGAGTTGCATTGGTGTTAAAAGAAAAGTTTTAGCATAGAGAGATTTTGTTCTGCTTGAAGTCGTATTGCAGAAATAGAGTATTCATCAATTCGCAGAAATGGCCTGTATGAAATTAGGATCCAAAACTGATGCATTTCAGAGACAAGGACAGGCCTGGTGCGTTTCTTAATTCTTCAACTTCAGTTTTCTACTTGGATCTAAACTTTTCGTCAATTCCGCTGAACTTTTGATTACATCGTATACTTGAAGTATTTCACCTATTTGTTTGCTTGTTATGGTTGAAGATGAGTATACTGATCATAAAGGCATTGATTTATTATTTGCAAATTATTCTTTATTAATCATTTTCCCTGCTTCTGCATCATGACCAATGCTTTGAGCTCAACGCAAATGGCTTGTTTGGTAGGTGGATTGTTCTTAATTGGGATGATAAAACTAAAGTTAAAACTCTTGTCTATTAATATTATTGAGTTGTTGCTAATACTTCAGTGTCAAACACGCCCTTAGAGAATAGACTGTTAAATAAGAAGCCACTCCATTCCTCTCTGAAATGATACCTAGCTTATAAAGGATATATGTATTTCAAACTTGTATCACTTGATTCTTGTTATATAGGCTGTGGAATATCTTACGTTTCACGTAAACTATCTTATTTTGCATTACTCCAAGAAGGCTTAAACTTTTTAAGATCATAATGAACTTGGTTTTTTCAGAGTGACCAGATTTTATTGTGGCTCACAATACTATTAGAGATTTGGCTGCTGATCAACCTTTCATACAAGTTTATATACAACCATTTTCCTGAAAGCACTCTCGGTCCTCACTTAGATAAGTTAGCTATATAACAGCAATATCCTGAAATATATTCAAATCTATTTAGTACCCTCCATTTTCCAAATCATACGAGTTCCACAAAGCACATATTTTTTGACAGCCACGCTATAGAGTTAACTTGTGCTTCTTGATTGACCACATCGACATTATTTGAGTGAAGAGCATGCTAGTGACTTTGAATTTGCTAAATTATGCTTTAATCAAAATATGCTTTGTTGTCCCTTAAACTTGCCCTTTGTTTTCTTTCATACTGTAGGTTCTGCACAACTGGTCTACCAAGTGATATAGTTGTCGAAGTTGAGGAGATGTCCTTCCATCTCCACAAGGTATAATTTTTGAAAGTTAATGTAATTTACCGATGCATATTGCTTAGTTTCATCTCCAATTTTATATTCCTTTTTATTCTTTTGACCGATATTTGTTATTCATAGGTGTTGGATTACAAGTCTCTACTAGGAAAAAATTTTACATGACCAACAATCTGTTTCCAACTGGTTTTATGCACATCAACCTTTATTTTCTAATATTTCCTGGCTGTAATTCCATAAAATACGATCATGCAAATTAACATCTATTCATGTCCCATTGTATATTGTATTAAAATCCAATTATCTACTGTAGTTTCCACTGCTTTCAAGAAGTGGTGTTATGGAAAGAATGATTGCAGAAGCATCTGAGGATGAAGAAGGATGTATCATTAAACTCTCTGACGTTCCTGGTGGGGCTAAGACATTTGAACTTGTAGCAAAATTTTGCTATGGGGTAAAACTTGAACTGACTGCTGCGAATGTGGTACAACTTGGATGTGCGGCCAAGCATCTTGAAATGATCGAAGAGCATGGGGAAGGCAATCTTATTTCTCAGACCGAAGTCTTTCTCAATCAGGTGGTTTTGCGAAATTGGAAAGACACTTTGAAAGCACTCCAAAGCTGTGAAGATGTTCTCCCGTATGCCGAAGAACTTCAATTTCCCAAAAAGTTAATCGAGTCTTTGGCTGCGAAAGCATGTACTGACCCAAATCTATTTGGTTGGCCTGTCATGGAGCATGGGGGGCCCATGCAGAGTCCTGGGGGAAGTGTATTGTGGAACGGAATCAGCACAGGTGCACGACCAAAAAGTTCAAGTTTAGATTGGTGGTATGAGGATGCATCAACTTTGAGTTTACCGCTATACAAAAGGTTGATTTCTGCCATGGAATCTCGAGGCTTAAAACAGGAAATAATTGCTGGCTCCATGAATGTTTATGCAAAAAAGTACATACCAGGGTTAAACAGACGACAGGGTTCCAGCGAATCTAGTAGCCGTCTTGCACCAGTGAGTTCAGGAATCTCACTTTCAGAAGAGGATCAGAAGCTTTTGATTGAAGAGATTGATCACTTACTTCCCATTCAGAAGGGTCTAATCCCAACAAAATTTCTATTTGGTCTACTTAGGACAGCCAAGATTCTTCGAGCAAATCCTTCTTGCCTATCAACCTTAGAGAAGAGGATAGGAATGCAACTCGATCAGGCAACTCTTGAGGATCTGTTGATGCCTAATTTTTCTTATTCCATGGAGACTCTGTATGATGTAGACTGCGTACAGAGGATTCTTGACCATTTCTTGGTCATGGATCAGGTGGTTGGCAGTGCATCGCCAGGCTCAGTTGATGACGCCCAGCTAATGGAATCACCATCACTGACACCGATCACGATGGTAGCCAAGCTAATTGATGGGTACCTTGCGGAGGTTGCCCCAGATGTTAATGTGAAGCTTCCCAAGTTTCAGTCCCTTGCCGCTGCTGTTCCTGAGTATGCACGGCCCTTGGATGATGGTCTTTATCGGGCAATTGACATTTATCTCAAGGTAAATTTATCAACTAATCTAGGGAAAATTGCAGTGTTGGTATCTGATCTAATATCCAAGTAGCAGATTGGTTCTCAACGTTTTCATTGTAGTTGCACACTCAATCAGAACAACAAAAAAAGGGGGTCCAATTCTTTGTTAAATCTCAAGTAGCTCTCGTGGACACATGCCTCACTTCAAATTTCCAGGCGCCAGTATAAGTTGGGAAATGAAATACATGTGAGGGCTACACTACAAGTTAATGGTGATTTGTAAAGTTTCTGTTTTAAGGACTGATTGTGCAACTATAAAGTTGACCAACTTTCTACTAGGACAATAAGATGGGGTGTAACGATGCAATTTTTCCATGACTTCATCTGGGGTTTGGGTGAGATTTGGTTTCGTTTTAACAATAACATTAATTATAACGTTTTTACTGTTTTTATATCTGCAGTCTCATCCATGGTTGGCAGAGACAGATAGAGAACAACTCTGCAGGCTGATGGATTGCCAAAAACTCTCTTTGGAAGCGTGTACCCATGCAGCGCAGAATGAGAGGCTGCCTTTGAGAATAATAGTCCAAGTCCTCTTCTTTGAGCAGCTCCAGTTAAGGACTTCAATTGCTGGTTGCTTGATGGTCTCGGACAATCTTGATGGGTCGAGACAGTTGAGAAGCGGCCTGATTGGCCAAAACGATGGAGGATGGACCACAGCTGTGCGGGAAAACCAGGTCCTGAAAGTCGGAATGGATAACATGAGGATGAGGGTTTCTGAGCTTGAGAAAGAGTGTTCCAACATGAGGCAAGAGATCGAGAAGTTGGGTCAAGTAAAAGGATCAAGCACGTGGGGAAATGTCTCCAAAAAGTTTGGCTTTAGACTCAAGTCTCAAATGTGCAGTGCTCAAGAGGGATCCGTCAGTAAGCAGAACAATCGAAGTGTGCAAAGTGAAAAGTCGAAAGATCAACATAGGGGAAAGCACAAGAAAAATTTATCTTCAGAAGAATAACCACTCTTCATCTTCTATTTTTAAAATTTTATTTGGCAAATTCTGTTTTTAGATCAGGACTGGATATTATGTTTCCTTGTTTGTGTTATACTACTCTGTTTTGATTCATCTTCGCGATTCCGCGTCTTGTAACATAAATAGATTGCACTTGCAATTGTTTAGTTTTTCTGAAATTGTGAAAGGTAAAGTATTTGTCCCGAAAATTTCTCTTTCTCAGGCTAGAGTTTTCTTCCTCAAAAGTGTGATCATTTAGTCCCTGTTGATTTAGTTAAAGCTCATTCTTTTTAGTAGATTTTGATAAAAGTTGATGAAATGTGTCAAAGGGCTTGCTGTAAAGGGCCTTAATGTTTAATACAGTTTGCTTAGCTCTTATCTACCAGATAATCGAGTTTTATATTTGTGAACAGTGCCATAACCAGTAGGTTCATCTCTCTTCTTAATAACGATAACTGGCCAAATTATGTGTTATTTTGTTAAATCTGTGTGTAGGTTACGAAGATACGATTAGAGAATGGCTAGAATGTTGTTAGTCTATTAACTTCAGTCAACAGCCATCAAGAATGATCTTTCTTGAGAGTTCGACTTGGTTCAGCCTGTGTTCAGAATTCGTTTCTGCTCCATTCTTCAAGAACTAGGATGAAAACACCATTGTCCCTCTCTTGCATGATGAATTTATGGTTATGTTTGATACGATCAGTCACATCCCATTTCTCATTTATCACTATTTGCATCAAGATCAGATAATATTGAGTCTGTAATGTTGGGATTAAAACAATCAATATTAATCACATTCTTTATGGATTTCACAACTATTCAACCACACATTTCAAAAACTTCTATTATGTAATCTACTAAAAAAATCTAATTTTAATTCCCACCAAACACTCTCACTTCAAAATGCCCATGTCAAGTGTGGATATTTCCTTAATTTTTATATCTTGCAAGGAGATGATATTATATTCAAGTAATAAAGTGGACTGCCGAATCTAATTTTCAATTAATTTAACTCTAATTGAATGACTCGCAAATAAGATAAGATAGATTGAATCCCCGTATATTCTTCCATCTAAATATTAATTTATTAATTCAACAATATTTACTTGGGCTTGAAGATTAATGTTTAAGAAAATTACCTAGATCCCTTCTTTTCAAGATTACATTTCTAAAACAAGTGGGTGAAAGATTTAATTTCAATAGTCAAGTGATAAATATGAATTTTTAAATTAATTAATTACACCCCCACCCACTCTACCACCCCTGAACACTTCTTTTACCCCATACCCCGATTCATTTTCTAACCCACACACACACTCTCTCTCTCTTCCCCAAAAATTGATCAGCACTCTCTTACCCAAAAATCTTATCGGTGGCTTCTTCCCCAGGCCCATCCTTTAGATCCAGGCCACCTACCACTTCTCTCGCCGAAGTTTCGCACAAATCTCTTCTTTGAAAGCTGATAAGATTAGATTTTGGGGAAGTGCCAATGCAGCACATGGGTCACCAACCAGTCTGTGAGGAGAAGAAAATCGAACGTGAACGTGAACGTGGGGACCATATGGTGAAGAACAACCAGTCTGCGGCTTCTCTCTCATAATCTTCCTCATCTTTTCGAGAAATAACTGAAGAAGAATCTTGAAAATCTTTATTAAGAAATATTCAGTAATCAATTAGTTGGTGTTTTTTTAAGGTGTTGGTGGAAGTTATGGTAGTGATGATTTTTGTTGTGGATTTGAGTTAAAAATGTTAGTACTGGTGGTGGTTATTATTTTTTCGAACAGATTTGCTGTGGTGGTTGGAGATCTGGTTTTTTCTGTTCGAGATCTGATTGTGACTGTTTGTGACCTATTTTGTGTTGATTGTGATCGGTTGTGACTTGAGATTGATTTGGTCACAGACAATCACATTGAATACAAACTTGATCACAAACCCCATATCAACTTACCCTAGATCTTTTATCAATTTTTAACCCACACATTCTATTTCTTCCCCCAAAAATTAGTTCGGCATTCTCTTACCCAAAAATCAGATCTATGACTTCTTCCCCACCCACCCTTTGGATTCCGACCACCTACCACTTCTCTCACCAATGTTTCACGAGAGAAGTGTGGTGGTGCTTCTTGTTGTTTTTTGAAGGGCTGGTGGAGATTATGGTAGTGATGATTGTTGTGGATTTGAGGTGAACGTAGTACTTATGGTCATCAATTTGAGTTAAAAAATTTAGTAGTGGTGGTGGTCATTATTTTTTCGAACATATTTGTTTTGGTGGTTGGAGGTCTAGTTTTTTCTGTTCGAGATTTGGTTGTGACTATTTGTGACCAATTTTTTATTGATTGTGATCAATTGTAACTTGAAATTGATCTGGTCACAGACAGTCACATTGAATACAAATTTGATCATAATTAGTCACATCGAAAGGCAAAGTTGGTCATGATTCTCAGATAACATAAGTCATCCCATATAACACAGGTATGGTCACAGATGACACAATTGCAAAACTGATAACTACAATGCACCACTACGACCATCACAATTTTTGGAGATTTTTTTATCACCGAAGCTGGAACAATCGGCGGAATAGTTGCCGGAGCAGTTTGTCGGAATGGTTGTCAAACCAGTCGTCGAGCTATTGTCTGAGCGATTGCCAGAGTGAATGCCGGAGCCGATGGTTATCTTCGATGGAGAGGTGGAGGGAAGGTGGTGTCGTGGGGTGATAGGATGGGGTGAGTGAAGTGGCATGGAGTGAAAATAATTAATGTATATTATATTATAGTTTAATATTTAATAAATATATTTACCACCTGATTTTTGAAATATTTCAATGAGTTTATTATTTATGAAATGTGTTTTTATAATGTTGTAGTTGTGTAGTCTTCCCTTAATGTTTCTATCTTGTTTAATAATCTCTTAAATAGAATCAAACATATTCTCACACATGACCAAGTAATATTTGCATCTGAATGCAAACTTATGAAGATGCATTAAATCACAATTTTTATTAGGTCATGCAAAGTACAGACATTTATCTCTAACGTCAATAGGACATTACAATGATTGCTAAATTTCTTCATTTTTTGTTTTTTGTTTTTTTTTTATTTTTTTTGCTAATATCAATATAAATCATACATCAATTCAATTAGTGGCCAATTAGTTGAAAAACATTAAACTCCAAATTATAATTCAAACCAACCTAACATTATGTCAAACTATAAAATTTAGGGTCTTGCTGGGTGTACAGACCCACCATTTACAGACATCTTACATAGGTCTCACAATGGGGTGGGGTCAACCCATTTTAGTCATTTTTTAATTCATGGAGTTCGTCGTGGGACCCATCTTCCATGTGAGTGATCTATGAGACTTCTGTCAAAATCTCTTCTATACATATGGATTTATCCTAGAATTTATTATCAAAATTTCAAAACATAGAGTTCAATATAGCCATAGCATCCATACAACTGGTCCAGCTTCGTAGAAATACAAACACACAAATTACAACAATACAACATCAACCGTAGAAGCGCAGGCACATATGCGCAAGGATAGTCAGTGGCCCACCTAAAATTTCTATTTTTTTAAATTAAAAAAAATAAAAAGGGAAAAAGAATCACTACGAGATGGACGCTAAAATTTTCTCCCCGTTCCAATTTCAAATAACTTAGAACCTACCCACGTAATCCGCCTTCTTCTCTCTTTCTTAAATATCTTGCAAATTTGATTCCGATCGACAGAAAGGTGAGTTCAATGAGTCAATCCGTTATGCTCTTCAACTGATTTATTTGTATCCCTTTTTGGAATTTTTCCACTATTTTTGTGCTTGTGATTCAGTGGTTGAAGAAGACAAAGAAGAAAGGCTTTCTCTAGAGAAGATTAAGGAAGGTACAATACAAACTTTGATGCATAATATGGTAATAGACTAGCATTAAATTCTGACTCAAAAGGTCTCAAAATCTCTCAGAGAATAATGCTGAATTGTTTTTGTAGTTCTATTACTTATTGATTAACACGGCATTGTCAGTGTAAGAATATAACTTGGTGTTTTTTGTATATATTATTTCACCATTTTCAAGCTAGAATGCACAATTTCGACTTCTTCTTCTTCTTCTTCTTCTTCTTCTTCTTCTTCTTCTTGCTCTCTATGTGTGCGCGTGTGTATAACAAGGAATTATTTTCAAACAAGCTAGTAGATTATATGGCAATGTTTTATGCATTTTCTTGAATTCATCATCATATTTGATGGAGCCCGTATTCGCTAAACAGAATGTTGGAATTGGTTCAAAAGTAATTGAAAAGTTGGTTTAAGTATTAAAACCAAAATTAAAAGGTGTGACTTCGTGTCAACTTCGATCAAATATTCGGATTTGATTCGATGGTTGAATTACAAAAGTAAATAGACCAACTTGTTTTGCTCATCGAGTAGATCGTCGTGGTATATTTGAAACCTTTAAATCAATCCAGGTGAATGAGAAAATGCGGTCCAAATTTGGAAGAATTAAGTGTTGTAATTTTTCGTAAGGGTACAGATTTGAAATGAAGTGTTGCAACTTTTCATGAAAAATGTTGAATTTGGGGTGTGTCCTTTCACCCACATCCTTTCAACTTCTATATATAGGACTCCTTGGACATTCATTTTGAAATTCCATATTATTTTTTTCATGTCATGTTGCATAAAATACTTTGTGGAAATGATTATATTTTGCATCCAAGTTATGTCTATGATAGAGAGAGAATTCCGTTCGAGTTCGTTATTCGAAGTCATTTGGAGTGCTCTTATGACTTGACGTAGTTGTTGTATCTTGGAAGATAATTACCGAAAAATAGCACCAATACGGGGCAAATTCATATTAAGAAAAGAGTGTCAAATACTTGCTTCGGCCAATCCATCACTTGCATTTTCTTTCCTCATTTTCTGATTTCCTTTAATTATACTTTCATTTCAAAAAACGTTTAACATTATTTATATGTTCATGGTGCAAGGTTCGATTTAAAGAACAACTTACTTTCGTTCAAGAATCGAAATGGATGAATCTATATCCATGCATTCAGATTCAGTAACCATTATTGTTTTGCTTTTCAAATTCATTTCAGTAAGTCGAAATTACGTTTCGATTTCATGAACATAAACCGTATATTTTTTGTGAATATAATGCACAAAATCGGTGTAAAATCCCCAACACTATATACTATTTTTCTTTCCTCTTCCTCC